CTGCCGGCTGCCATCTTGGCTGACAGTTAATTTGCATAAGGATATGCTGATTAGCCAATGGGAAGGGTAGCGGTCGTACGCTAATTACCATGTTTCTCTTTTATTAGTGTAGATTGATTTCAGAGAGGAAGGGAAGAGGGAGAGAGAGAGAGAAACATCAATGATGAGTGAGAATCATTGATCCGCTGTTACCTGCACACTCCCTACTGGAATCAGGCCCACAACCTGGGCAAGTGCACTTGACCGAAATAGAACCCAGGACCCTTCAGTCCGTAGGCCGATTCTCTATCCACTGAGCCAAACTGGCCAGGGCTCAGACCACCTCTTGCTTGTCTCCAGCCACTTGGCTTTACCCCTCGGCAGGGAGACGCCAGGAGCACTGAGCTCAGCATGGCGATGTGGAGGGCTGGCCCAGCAGCCCACCTGGCTGGTGTCACCTGGAGGAGGAAGATCTGTGAAATCTCCTAGTCTGAGACCCTGTAGCACTTGTCATAAGACTTTTTCATTCAGGAAAGCATGGCTTGTCACTAGAAGGACAAAGGACAGTGGATCAACAGGCAAATTTCCAAATTATATACCAGGATGAGCCTCCAAAGATGTAATAAGCAAAATACATCTTATATGGCATGCATGTCGTTGGTGATGTAAGTGTCATAAGTGACATGCCCATCTGTGCCGATGCCTGTCATAGCTGACACACATGTCATAAATGACGGGCATGTCCTATGTGGCCTATATTGGAAACAACATATATGTCATGTTATGTTTTAGTGTGTTACAAACAACGCTCTAGGACAGTGACGGCGAACCTTCTGAGATCAGCGTGCGAGAATTTTGAAAAACCCTAACTTAACTCTTGTGTCGTGTCACATATAGAATTTTTTTGATATTTGCAACCATAGTAAAACAAAGATATATTTTTTTGATATTTATTTTACATATTTAAATGCCATTTAACAAAGAAAAATCAACCAAAAAAATGAGTTCGCGTGTCACCTCTGACACGCGTGTCATAGGTTCACCATCACTGCTCTAGGAGCAAATTGTTCCTGGCTTAGCGGGACCACATGTAAGCAATCTTGTGAGGCTAGTGTGTGTTAGACACAGAGGCTGCCTGTGCTGCTCTGCTTTGGAGGTGTTCACTGTGCGAGCTGCCAGAGGACAGGGTCCTGTTCCCGCCTCTTTCTAGGAGGAAAGGGCAACTCTCAGCATCTGTGGGAATTACCAAGCCCACCGTCCACTGTTCTCATCGAGGTGCCTCTCCACCCGAAGTGCATGAAGGCTCTTAATGTCCAACATCATCGCTGGTACTGGGCCTTTTTTTTTCCTGGGTCATCCAGGAGGACATTCGTCATGACCTTCCCAAGAGGAGGTAATGGGCAGAGGGAGATGGGACCCAGCAAGGAAGCTTCCAGCCCAGCCTCTCCTGCCTCGTCACATGTTGACATTCCAGTTTCATGGAAGATCTGATTGGGAAGAAGAACAAAGAGAATCTTTCAGTCTCAAAATAAAACCATCATTCCAAGGCAAATCTTATTCCCAAACCCCAGAAATGCAACATGGCCCACAGCAGGTGAAGGGGAGCAAGAGGAATCCCCGTCATCCTGCCTCTGAGGGCAGCACCCCTGGGTCATCATCAAAACCCAAGGACGAAGGACTCACAATCCTGGAAGCTTCCCCCAAAGGAATGGGGTCAGGGTGACCGGGTCTCGGGAAAGGAGGGAGGGAGGGTGGGTCAGGACGGGACCTCTTGTGGCCAGCATCCTTGAGTCCTTTCCCATCTGGGGTAGCCCTTAGGATGACAAGGTCAGGCATGCAGCCCAGGGTCCCAGCTGCACCCTTATATCCAGACTCCATGCAAATGGGGCTCTCCTCCTGCTCATTAAAGAGGGCCCTTCCCGGCATGTTGGGGAGACACTCAGAACCCAAGTGCCTGAGAAAGGACCCCAGCAGCTCCACCATGGACTTGGTGCCAAGCTGCGTTTTCCTCCTGATCATTTTTCAAGGTCATTCTCAGGATTGGGGAGCACTGGGACCTTTGCCTGTGCCTGTTTTTGCTTCCATGTGATTCTAAGTCCAACTTGTGTCTCTTTGTTTGCAGGTGTCCAGTGTGAGGTGCAGCTGGTGGAGTCTGGGGGAGGCTTGGTGCTGCCTGGGGGGTCTCTGAGACTTTCCTGTGCAGCCTCTGGGTTCACCTTCAGTATCCACTGGATGGGCTGGTTCCGCCAGGCTCCAGGGAAGGAGCTGGAGTGGCTTGGTGAAATTACTCCTGATGGAAGTACCACACACTATGCCAACTCTGTGAAGGGCCGATTCACCATCTCCAGGGACAATGCCAAGAACATGCTGTACCTGCAAATGAACAGCCTCAGAGCCACGGACACTGACCATTATTACTGTGCTAGACACACAGTGAGGGGAAGTCAGTGTGAGCCCAGACACAAACCTCCCTGAGGGAGGCAACAGGGCTGGGCTGCATAGGGCGTGCAGGACACCAGGGGTCGCTCAAGACCAGCACAGCCCCCTGACCAGGAGCAGGTGGAGAGAGTTAAGCAAAGACACAATTTCCTGCTCTGCCTTAAATTAACTTTGCTCCAAGGCTCAGCCACAGAGCTCACAGAAAGTCCTTTCTATGTCTAGGTTTAGGGATTGTATTTGTGAATAAAAAAGGAGACTCTGTCATAAATCTGACAAAATTCAGTGACTGAAGCCCGTCTCACCGGAGACTGATCACAAATTCCTATCTGGTTGAGGATTAAGGAAACAAATTAAATAAATAAAGGAATCTTATTTTAATAAAACAGGACAGGAAAGAAATGGTAGGAGGAAACATCGTCTTAGTACTGTTAACGTAAAAAAAACAAAACACATTCAAATCTGTAAGAATTTTTGTGAGTGTATTTCAGCCAAACTGTCGACAAATGTCAGAATGCAGAACCTCAACAAACTGAGATAATGCTCCCAAGAATGGTGGGTTTTCCTCTATTTTTATACATTGCAATCCAAGGAGGGACATAGGTGGGTAACATGAAATCCATTGGTGATAGACTAGATAGGCGGGAGAAAGCAAAGCCAGGAAACCTCTGGGATTGGATAAAAAGTAAAATGAGAGACACATGCTTAGGTGGGTGCAGGATCAGTTAACATGATAATAGTAAAGGAATTTGTGGTGTCTGTCCTTGGGCCCAGGCACATTACCTAGTGCTCCTAGGGGTCTGGAAAAAGGGGAGTTACAAGTTACCCAGACATTGCAAGGATATGTTATTGTAGATGCAAAAAGACAGATAGGCTCAGTTAAAGTAAAGGTTGTTGTCAGTGATGAAGATACCGGCCTAGGATGTAACTGTTGCAGAAAACCAAAGAAATACCAAGCACGCTTCCTAGAGAAAGGGAGGGACACCGTTTATTAACACTAGTGGACTCCGGGAATAATTTCCAAATCAGAGTGAAGAAACATGCAGAGGTCTTTACTTTTTATAACCCTCTAGGGTCTTTGTCTTGCAGATATGATTCCACCCCTTTTCATGGTCTTACAGGAAGGCTCCCAGGTGTTGGGGGTCCCCAGGCCATATCCAATGATCTGTCCTGGGGCCAGTGATAATGACCTTCCCCCCCAGGGCTGTGCATTGTTCACAGTTTTTATGGCCAGACAAGTCTTGCAACACCAGTTTCCTCCTCATCCCCCCCGCCTTGTCCCACAAGCTTCTTTTAACCTTGTGGAACAATGACCATGGGATATTATGGTAAACAGGGGTGATGACTGCTCTTAGCTACTTCCTGCTGGACATGGACAATGACCAAGGGTTTAGCATCCAGCTTCTACCACTCAGAGGGGTTTGTAGGGAGTTCTAGTTTCAGACAGGCAGAGGTAAGCAGTGGTCCCACATGCATAGAATTTTCCTGCAGGGTGCACCAGGGGTAGGTGGTGTTTTCAGCCTTGGGGGTAGAGTTGCATAGTTCACCTCGGAGGTGACCTGTTCGATGTTGGCCCTGCGTACTACTGAAACAAATAGGAGCAACATTAGTTAGATGCACATTGGCCATGACAGGGCCTATTATAATTTTTCCATCCAATGCAATCCCCCCTTGCTCCCATGTGCATTTGGTAGTAGAGTTGTAACATGCCACAGGCTGATAAGTATAGCTAACAAAAATCTGGCTTGATTGGGTTTTCTCGTGGACTACCCAGTCTAGCATATTTGGGTAGTGAGTTTCTAAGCACGGAGCAAAGGATGGCATGATAAGGTGTAATCCAACAATTCATGATAAGGCCTTTGTTTCCTTGCTGTGTGGAAAGAAGTAATTTTATGGTGCTTCTGTGTCCCAGCAAGAGCAGATGAGTTCTCCTCCTGGTACTAGTCCCGGATTCCACTGGCACTCTTAAAAAAAAAAAAAGAATTATTAGATAAATCCAGTGATTATCCAGAAATACTAGAGCATGTTACCTTAGGAGGGGATAAGAAAGAAAGATTAGTGTTAGAGAGAATTCAGCAGGGTGTTATCTGAATTCCTTAGAGTAGGTTGCTCAGCCAGGTCCGCTGTTGTCTTGAGGGTGATCCGCAGGGGGTGTTTCTGGTCAGAGGTCACCTTCCACTCAGACTGGATGTCACTCGGCTGGTGGGCTGCTTTCACCCAGGAGTGGTGGATCCAGGTGTTTAGTCCTGCAACCTTAAGAGCTGTGGGGGTGGTTAATATGACTGGATAGGATCCCTTCCAGGTAGGCTTGAGGGGCTCCTTTTTACAATCCTTTACCCAAATCTGGTCTCCATGTTTATTAGGATGTACAGCTGTTCCTAGAGAGATGGATAGTTGGTCAATAACCCACCTGTGGACCTCAAAGACAGTTTTTCCAAGTCCTTGTAGTTGTTTCTGCATTTCTAAGTTCCCTATTTCCCCCAAATCTCCCTTTGGCTAAATTAAAGGAGGGGGTCTACCGTATAGAATTTCAAAGGGAGAGAAACCTACCCTGGCCCTTGGGGCACAGCATACCCGCAGGAGTACAAGAGGCAATATATCTGTCCAGGGTAAGGTTGTCTCTTGGCATAGCTTAGCCATAGCCTGCTTTAGAGTCTGGTTCATGCACTCCACTTGCCCTGAACTCTGAGGTCTGAAGCTGTATGTAGATTCCATTTAATTCCTAAAGCCTTGGCTACCTGTTGTACTAATTCTGCTACAAAGGCTGGGCCATTATCGGACCATATGGTCAGAGGCATTCCATACCATGGAATTATATACTTCAGCAATGCCTTAGTGACTTCTCTTGCCTTTTCACTGCGAGTGGGATATGCCTCGACCCAACCTGAAAAGGTGCAAATAAAGATAGCAGGTATTTATTTCCTCTGCTAGGCCCTATTTCTGTAAAATCTACTTCTAAGTCTTCAAAAGGAGCTTGCCCACAGTGCTAAACTCCTATCGGTCCCACAGAAACCTGTTTAGCATTGTTCTGAGCACAAAAGAGGCAATGCTGAGAGACAGAGGCACACAAGGAGGGTAGACGGGCAATTAGGTAGTACCTGCCTAACAAAGCTTCTAGGGCAGCCTTTCCTAAATGAGTGAGTTCATGCTGCTGGAGGACTACCTTATGGGCTAACTGTTCTGGGACATAGACCCTATGATCTGGGAGTATCCACCAGCCTTCCATTGTTCTCTTGCCCCTTTCTTTCTGGGCCCATTTCTCTTCCAGAGGAGTGTATTTTGGAGGTCCAGGTAATTCGGGGGCCAACATGATCCATACTGGCACTGCTTGTTCTTTAGCAGCCAGATTGGCTGCGGCGTCAGCATGCTGGTTTCCTTCTGATACTGAGTCTTTCCCTTTCTGGTGACCTATGCAATGGATGACGGCTATTTCCTTAGGCTCCCAGACTGTTTCTAGTAACTTTAAAATCTCATTCTGATTTTTTATTCCTTTTCTTCTGCTGTCAAGAGCCCCTTTTCCTTATATATGGCCCCATGGACATGCAGGGTAGCAAAGGCATAGCGTGAGTCAGTGTAGATGTTGGCCCGCTTATTCTTACTGAGTTCTAGGGCTCTTACTAGGACCCAAAGTTCTGCCCTCTGCGCTGACCATCCTTCAGGCAGGGCCTGTGCTTCAATTGTCTCAAAGTTTGATACCGGCTCCTCTTTTTCCTTCATCTAAGAAGCTACTGCCGTCTGTGAACAATACCAAGTCCGCGTTTTGCAGGGGCCTATCCTTTAGGTCTGGCCAGCTGGAATAAACCTCCTCTAGGACATCCAGGCAATCATGCTCAGGGGCCCCCTCAGCTATGGGTAGAAAGGTGGCTGGATTAAGTATTCTCACTGCTTCTAATCATACCCATGGATTCTCACATAACAGCCCTTTAACTGAGTCACTGGAGCATGAGTCAGTCAGTGCAGCCCCCTTGCTTCCATCATGGTGACAACAGCATGAGGTACTTTTACATTTAAGTTTTGCCCTAAGGTAAACTTATCCGCTTCCTTGACTAATAATGCCGTGGCTGCAAGGGCCCTGAGGCACGGGGTCACCCGGAGGCAACTGGGTCAATCCGCTTGGAGAGATAGGCTACTGGTCTTTGCCAGGGTCCAAACTCCTGGGTTAGAACTCCTAGGGCTATCCCGCTGTTCTCGTGAACAAAAAGATTAATGTCCTTCGTCACACGTGGTAGCACTAGTGCCGGGGCCTCAGTGAGCTTTGCCTTTATGGTGATGAAGGCTTTCTCCTGTTCGGGACCCCAGCCGATGGGTGCCTTCTCTTCTCCTCTTAAAGCTTCATGGAGAGGCTTGGCCAGGTCTGAAAACCCTGGGATCCAAATTTAACAGAATCCTGCCGCTCCCAGGAATTCCCAAATCAGCCGCTAGGTGCTAGGGACTGGGATGGCGCATACTGACTGCTTCCTTTCAGTCCCTAGCCTTCGTTTCCCTTGGGTGATCTGGAAGCCTAAATACTTGACTTCTTTCTGACAAATCTGTGCCTTTTTCTTAGACACCCGATAACCTGTTCCAGTTGGTATTCTCAGAAGGGCTCATGTTCCCTCCCAGCACTGAGCTCGTGTGGAGCTGGCCAGCAGGAGGTCCTCTACATACTGGAGTAGAACACACCCCAAGTCCTGTCCTGGGAACTTAGACAGATCAGATGATAGTGCTCCACTAAAAAGAGTAGGGGAGTTCTTGAACCCTTGTGGCAGTCTAGCCCAGGTGAACTGCTCCTTGGCCCCTGTAGTTGGGTTTTCCCATTCAAAAGCGAAGAGAGGCAACCTGGAAGGCACTAATCGAAGACAGAAAAAGGCATCTTTCAGATCTAGGCACGTAAACCATTCTGCCTCTGATGGGATGAGTTCCAGAAGAGTGTAGGGGTTCAGCAGTGCTGAATGCAGGGTTACAACAGCCTCATTAACAGCCCGTAGATCCTGTACGGGGCGGTAGTCATTAGTCCT